CCAAACTTTTCAATGACAACATATTCCTGTCAGCCGTCCCACTGCCAATTTTTTTCTTGAAAAGTCATCCCTGTCACCCAAATCAAACAGGTTAATATGCCATAAAGATATGCATATGAATTCTTGCTAAAGTACTTAACTTTGTGAAGGTTTTTGCATAACATTGAGTCTCAAATATTTAATCAGGACTTTCATACTCTTCGTTCATGAATTTGATGAGTAGGACCATTCTTTAGGAAGGGGTATAAGTTTGAGCAATGATTAGTTATTGGTGTCTTTGAACTTGCATGTACTCTGTATATTATAGTTGTATGGCCAAATTTTCATTTCTCATACAACAAGCATGACTGCTAACATTTAAGTAAAAGACAAATTTCTAGTCCAGCATTGAGCAGCCCAAATGAAATAGGCTTTACCAGTAGTGTAAAGTGGTAAATATAACCAAGTATTATGCAGAATTCCCACTACACACACATACACATATACATATTTTATATATATATATAGTTACATATATATATGTATATATGCATATAGTTACATATATATATGTATATATGCATATAGTTACATATATATATGTATATATGCATATAGTTACATATATATATGTATATATGCATATAGTTACATATATATATGTATATATGCATATAGTTACATATATATATGTATATATGCATATAGTTACATATATATATATGTATATATGCAAATAGTTACATATATATATATATGTATATATGCATATAGTTACATATATATATATATATGTATATATGCATATAGTTACATATATTTTTGCATATATATGCATATAGTTACATATATATATATATGTATATATACATATATATACACATATATATGTATATATACATATATATACACATATATATGTTCATATATATACATATCTATACATGAAAGTACACACACTTATATATATATATGTATGTATATATATGTATGTATGTATATATATATATATATATATATATATATATATATATATATATATATATATATATATATATATATATATATATATACATACACATATATATGTGTGTACTTTTATGTATAGATATGTATATATATGTACATATATATATATAAGTACATATATATATATATATATATATATATATATATATATATATATATATATATATATATATATATATATATATATAATTTATGCAAAATCATGCAGATTCATTGTTTTTAAACAAACATTTTTCAAAATATTCACTGAAAGGAATACAATAAGCTTTTTATGAATATAACTCTAAATTGAGGATTTTTAACCAGTTGGATCTGGATTCTTCCCTGCCATCACATATCCCTAAATATGGGCATTAGGCTTACTTGAATGGCCACTCTGCTAGATATATGGCTCGTAGGCCGAGTGCACACAGACTCTTGGTAACAAGACTCCATACTTCCCCTTTACAATATTAGTTTCTCTTTTTCTGCATAAGTGTTTTAGCTTTTTTGCTACTCTCCTGTATCCCATATCATCTCTCTAGTAATATTAACAATAAGTAACCTTTTGTTATTTGTGTAATTTAATTTATTCTTATTTTTTTCATAATATTACATTTTCTGTAATACAACCTGCTCAGCCAGTCACAGTGACTGGGAATAGGATCTGGAGCAAGGAAATGGCATCCTCCCTGGAGCCAGCACTCCTCTAGTCATGTCTCATGGATGGTACATTCCACTTTTGTTTATCGATATAAATAATGTAAAACTTCCTTCCTAAATTGAGGCTAATCACTCACCAAGAGCTTTGTGCACTCATGACGAGTCATTTCTGTCGCTCTGCCTTCAGCCAAAATTCTCATGACAGCAATTTCCCGCTACCCCAGCCCCCAGCCAAAGTTTCCCATGGTGGTATATTCATGTCACCTGCCCCTCAAGCCATTTTTTCTTATGATGTTATGGTCAGGTCATCTGGATTGTAGGGGTTAAGGGGTAATTTCATTAGGGGGAAAAGTCCTCCAAAAGTTTTGTGGTGAGCCTTGACAAGCCTAGGACAGTTTTTTCAAGGGTTAGATGTATCAAAAAGCTGTCACAAATTTTTTGCCCATTCTGTGAGGGTTAGTCCTCATAATTGATTTTCTTTTCACTGAAACTCTCTGTTAACAGTAAGAAATCAGGCCTAAAATGAATGTAAATACATATTGTCTTCATTTAATTTTTATTTTTATTTTTATGTGCCTTGTGCCAGAACATTGGGAAGTCCAGCAAAAATTTGAGTGAATGTAAAAGGCTTGATTAATGTCTGAAGGGCTCAAGATAGGTCTTGCTTCTCCTGAAATGCAAGCAAGTAGTGTTAACCCAAAAGCAGTAACTAATTTTTTGAGTTTAGGCAGAAAGGTGGAAATTAACCCATTGCCGACGGGCATGCCATGCTATGCCCACTGAGATTTTACTTATTTGATTGTTTTTACCCATAGATGGCTACACTTGTACTAAGTCACCAATAAGCCAATTAGGAGTACTGCCTATCCCGCCCATTCAGCCTTTTCTTTAATTTTCGAAAACATTATAGTAATAATAATGTTTATAATAAAAATAACACCATCGATATTCATAGCACTAGTAAAAAAATACATTTTCCCGCCAATTAAAGGAAAGATGAAATCAGGTAAGGCAGAGCCATTTATGTGTAGAAACAAAAGATATAAAAAATGAGCATAGCATTTTCCCCTTTTTTTTTTCATTTTCCCCGGCAGCAATGGGTTAACCCACTGCCGACGGGCATGATGTGTACGTATGTGCCATGCCCACTGTGAATAACTTGTTATTGTTTTTACACATAGATGGCTACACTTGTACAAAGTCACCAATGAGCCAATTACGAGGACTGCCTGTCTCACCCGTTTACCCTTTTCTTTGATTTACGAAAATATTTTACGTTATTTTATTTTACCGTTACTAATGTTTATAACATAGTAATTATAATGTAAAAAAATAAAAATAACACCATTGATATTCATAGCACTAATAAAAAATACATTTTTGCTGCCAATTCAACTCAAATAAGGTCACAAGGTCTACTAATTGACTCCTTTGTGGCTAAACACTAGCAGAGCCATCTATGTGCCTTTCACGAAAATATAAAAAATGAACACAGCATTTTCCCCATTTTTTATTCATTTTATTTGATATCATTTTTATTAATTTCCCCCAGTGGCATTGGGTTAAGAACAGATAACAAAAGAATACAAAGCAAGAACATTAGGTTCATGTGCGATAATGAAAGAATTGGCAGTGCAAAAAGGTAGACAATGTCAGAAGAATGGTAGAGAGAGTTAAACACACAAACCAACAATTTTCCATGATCAGTCCCATATTTCTTATCACTAATATATTTGCTCATTTAATATCAGTTAATGCTGTTCTTGAACAAACAATTACTAGAAGACCTCAGAAAATGCATATGACTTACATTCAAGCTGGGAATAGCAGGTGTCATTATGGCTGGCTTTTGGCATAGGGCATATCAGTAGTCACAAAAGGTACTACCATCTGGACGGGGTGCCCAAGGACAGTGATGACATTGGTTGCAGGGGAGGGTTGATATACCCCAATTTTGCCCAGACCAAAATGACTAGAGTTGGCCCTGGTTGTCTTAGATGGCCAAGGATATTCATAAGTCCCTCTGTAATTACTGCAGAATATTATTAACTGGTGTAATGAATTTTCCATGCATTTCATTTATTAATCCATTCATGCCTGATGACATTTTATCATATCATGCCAAAAATTATACTGACACCAGATGACATCTATTCACATCATGAACCCAGTTCTTAGTGTTTGGGACAACACCTACCTCATGAGCCCAGCTGTGAGCTAGACAAGTGCCCAGCATGGAGCAGTCTACGTTTATTATACCCAGCTGAAATGGGGTGACAGAAATCAACTATATAGGCTTATTTTGACTTAAAAGTGGACAGTTGTCATAGTCTTACCCATACAGGAATCAAGGGTTTTATAAATAATTATTTATGTTTTTCTTCTTTCAGTGCTGTACTTGATACTGTTATTGAGGAACTTAAAAGTATTCTAAAACGTGATTTTAACAAAAGAATGATAGAGGCCACAGCATTCAAGACTTTTGAAGCCTGGTGGGATGACCAGGAAAGGAAGTTCAAAGTGAGTCTTTTTCTCTCCTTTTTATTCTCTTTTTGTTTCTCTTCCTTCATTCCTCTCTCTCTTTGTCTCTCTCATATTCTTTCTCGTTTCTCCCTTTCTCTTTCTCTTCATTTCTTTCTCCATCTTATTCACTCTTCTTTCTTCCCCTCCTCTCCCATTCCTTTTTTTAAGTTAATAAAGTGAAAATCAAAATACAAGGTGATAAAAGCTGAATCCAGTGTGCATTTTTTTTTTTTTTTTTTTTTTTTTTTTTTTTTTTTTTTTCCCAGTTTACATATTACTGTATTATATGTATATAAAAACATTTTCTTACTTACAAATTTTTCTGCCTAGGCACAAGCTGCTGCAGAAAAGGAGACATTCACAGACAAGCAAGCAGGACCTCAGGCCCGAATAGAAAAAATAAATTCAATAACGTCTTTATTAGAAAATCAAGAAGGCTTTGGCCTTGACTCCATAGGTTCTATGGGTTTAGGCTTCAGAGCTGCTATGCCTAAAATGCCATCATTTAGAAAAATAGTAAGTAACTTCATGTGTGAGTCCAGTCTCATACACGTACATTTGAGAATATAATACAAATTTCAGTTCATCCTCATTAACATTTATTATGATTTAAAAAATTATCATCATTTCTGCAGAGAAAAATCAAACCACCTTCACCACCGTGCATGGATGAGGATAGCAGAGGTCCCATCTCAGATGAAGAACAGAAGGAAGCAAGACCAAAATTAGATGACTCTTCAGATTCTGATTCAGGTCCTGATGACTTAGTTCCTCCTAAAAAGACGAAACCATCACCTTCTACTACCAAAAGGAAACCTAAATGGTCA